TCATGTTAATGTAGTGCTTTTATTTATATGTCATATAAAAAGGATACCCAGAGCATGGACTATTTCTACATGTTAAATTGTTACTGGTATTAAAAATAAAAATATACAAATATAAGTAATTTAGAGAGTAGGCTATCATATCATAGATACAAAGCGACATCTCTTGAGTCAGCAAAATCCTGACATCATAGGTGAAAGCAGTCTCTGTGAATCCTAGATCAATAACTAACCTTGGACAAATGATGTGACTTCTCTGATCCTCCATTTCTAAATGCTTAGAATACCACCAATTGTGCCAAGTTACTGAGAAGAAGAAATGAGACCCTGTATGTAATAAGCTCTCAACAGTGTCCAGAAAAAATAGGTACTTGCCAAACATATGGATGGGCAACAGACATAAAAAGATGCTCCACATCATTAACCATCAGTCATGGTGGGAAATGCAAATCAAAACCACAATGAGGTATCTCCTCACACCAGTCAGAATGGCTTGTATAAAAAGACAAGAAATAAATAACAAGTGTTAGTAAGGATGGTAAGAAAAGGGAACTCCATGCACTGTTGGTGGGAATGTAAATTGGAGAAGCCTCTATGGAAAAAGATTCCTCAAAAAATTAAAAATAGAAATGCCATATGAACCAGTAATTCCACTTGTGGGAATTTGGCCAGAGAAAATTAAATCACTAATTCAAAAAGATATATACACGCTATATTTATTGAAGCATTATTTACAATAGCCCAGATATGAAAGCAACCTAAGTGTCCAACAATAAACTGATAAAGATGTGGTATATATATATATATAATGGAATATTATTCAGCTATTAAAAAGAATGAAATCTTGCCACTTGTAACAAGATGGAAGGACCTAGAGGGTATTATGCTAAGTGAAAACAGTCAGACAAAGACAAATACCATATGATTTCACTGATAATGTGGAATCTAAAAAATAAAATGAACAAAGAAGACAAATAAACTCATAAACACAGAGAACAAACTGGTGGTTACTACAAAGGAGAGGGTAGAGGGGATGGCAAAATTGGTGGAGGGACTAAAGAGGTATAAATTTCCAATTATAAAATAAATAAGTCACAGGAATGAAAAGTATAGCACAGGGAATATGGTCACTAATATTGTAGTATCCTTGTATAGTAACATTTGGTAACTACATTTATCATGATGAATACTTTGCAATATATATAATTGTTGAATTACTATGTTGTACACGTGAAAGGAATATATTATGTATCAACTATACTTCAGTTAAAAAAAAAAAGTACTGGCCCTTATTGTTGTGTTGCTGTTATTATTGAAGGGAGAGTAGGCAGCAATCACACTAAAGAAGTTAAACTTAAGGAATATATACACTCGTCTTTGATGTCTGTCCAAATAGTGAAATGAGAAAACCACAAACATGAAACAAAATTTATAAAGAACATATGAAGAAGTTCTCCAAGGTCAAGTATATTTTGCCACAATTTTTTAAGTCTGAGTTCTATTCTGACTTGAGTAGAAAATTTCTTAAGATTTCATACACAAGAGATTTACTACTTCATTTCCCAAAACCTGAAAATTGAATAAATCTTTTAATAATAATTTTCTAGTGGTTTAGTAAGAACTAAGAGTGCTCATTAGCATTTTATATAAACATGAAAAATAAGAAGCAAGCTAAATGCCCATCAATATGAAAATATATGAAAAAATGATACAGCTATAAAAAGAGAGGGATTTCTATATCCTAATATGGAATTATCTAAGACATGTTGTCAGGTTTCATATATATATATATATAACTCTATCTGTGTTAAGACAACCCAAAAAAAACAACTTGTGTTACTTGCACACATATTTATGCACTTAAATTCATACACAAAGGACTGAAAATATGCAACCTATAGTGACCTCTTAGTTTTATTCTGCATAATTCTGTGTTATGACTATTTCAGTGAGACTGTATTTATATTTTACTTGTATAATTTATGAACCCGGGGAAAGTTAGCCAATAAATACATTAGGCTAAAATCAAGTAAAAATAAGTTTTAGAAAGCACTTTATCATTTACAAAAGGAATTTTGCAATTCTTTAAATAAATCCTTTAACACATTATCTAATTTGAATGAGCTTTTAGAATTTAAGGTAGTATCCTTACTTTAAAAGTGAACACAGACTAAAGTACTTATTAACCCATGGTTAATAAATGCAGTCAAAAACAAAACATGATCCACTGACTAAATTCAGTGTTCTGATCTTCAAGCTACAGTGCCTCCACAAACTGAAAATGCTGTCACTTACACATGGTTTTCTAAATCTCTATAGTGCTTCTATTCACAAGAAAGTTCAAAGCAGGGCAGAAAAGATTTTTGGAATACGAGTAAAAAGACCTGGGGGGGTTCTATATCATTACTAAGACTTCATGGAAAATCAGACTCTACACAATGATTCCCTGTGGCTGCACACTGCATTAAACAGGTATATATATTTTTAAATATGAATTACAGGTCGATTAGGACTTAATTGGTCTGGGGCAAGAATACATTTATTAAAAGCTCCCCTAGGTTATTTATTTATTATATATAAATAAATACATTTATTAAAAGCTCCCCTAGGTTTGGTTAAGATTACATATATCCTTATCTGATAAAAATAAAAGTATATTAAATATCACTTGTGCTATATACTTCACAGAGCTGAAATGAGAAGAGCTACATGAGAAAGGCTTCTATGAACAATAAGAAGCCCTAGAAATATAAAAAAGTTTTTATTTATTCACTCAAACATGTACCACATCTTCTGTGTGCCAGGCATGTGCTTGAAATGGAGAGAGAAGGCACTGCCCTCAAGAAACTGGGAAGCTGACGTCCTCAAGTAACTGCCCAGCTATGGGGAAAGACAGAGCAGTGGCACTAAGGCAGAGGTGACTAGCCCGGCCTCAGGGCGGAAAGCATACAGGGGTGCCGGTGGGAAGAGGGCTTAGAAAGGCCTGTGAAGAGACTCTTGAGCTAGACCTTCACATTCTGAGCAGAGGGCACAACACACCCAGCAAGTAGCTCAGAATGAACAGAGGTCCTCAGAGGCAGATCCCCTGGGGGTCCTGAAGACCTTTTCAGGGAGTCTGTGAGCTTAAAACTGTTTTAGTAGCAATAATAATACTAAAACACATCACCACCAAAAAATAGTAAAAACTCAAATGTCCTCCAACTGGTAAACACAGATAAACTGTTATATATGCACACATTGGAATAAAACTCAGCAATAAATAAAGGAACGAGTTAGTGATACACACGACATAGATGAATCTCAAGGGCATTATGCTCAAGGAAAGAAGCCAGACTCAAAAGGCTACAGACTGTAAACTCCATTTACATGGCATTTGGGAAAAAGCAAACTACAGGGACAGAAAATAGGACAGAGGTGCTGAGGCTGAGGGTAAGGGAACATTTGGGGTGATGGAAATGTTCCATATCTTTGCTATGGTTACACAACCATATGCATTTGTTAAACCCTGAGAAGAACTGTACACCAGAAAGGGTATATTTCACTGTACAGAAGTTATACCTTCAAAAATCTAACACTGTGCTCTGTCACTCTCCTTTCCTCACTAGTGTACCGGGCTTGCCAGAAGATTCACATCTGTGATGAAGTCATCACTCTGCAGCAAAGGGAAAGCAAGCTTGTACATTCTTACATTTTATGTTTGTCTCCCTTTTTATTATAGTAAATAACTGACAGATATAATCGACATAAACAAAAGCTCTCTTGGGACTTAAATAATTTTTGACAGTATAAAAGATATCTGAGACCTAAAAGTTTGAGAACCACTGCTAACGGTAATGGGGAGGCCCTGAAGTGTCCTAAGCAGAGTTAACAGCATAGAACTTTACAAGAGTGGTGCAGGAAAATTAGTAAAGAAGGTCTTGAGTAAGGCTGATTGCAGGATTCAATGCAAGAAATTACATCCACATATTAGCTGAAGCTTGTTATAAATCCCAAGACAGTTTTTTCTCTACTGAGCTGTCTCTTTGTTGATATGTTAATGTTTTGTAAACTAGTTTCTGTTAACTGGTAGTACAGTTAGGAAACTAAATCTGCTACAAGCGCCATCCTACAATGAATTACTCATAAGTGATTTCTGGATTATTCAGTCAGTTGCCACTGTCTCTCTTCAAAAAATGCCAATAATTTAAAATTGAGTTTTACATACTTTACACTTGAGAAGTAACCATCCCAAAGAGGTGCAAAAACTAATTTAGAAGTGACTCAGGATCTCAAAATAAATTAGGGAAATTAGATAATTGATTAAAAAGCCAATACAGTATGTCTGAAACGGACTTTCATTTGTATCTAGAAACACTACAACAATTTCAGCTCAGTACAGTTTTTTTCTATACAATGTGGGTTGTTGTGCTTTTTTTTTGGATTGTGGGTAGGGGGATTGTTTGTTTGGGGTTTTGTTTTAAGTCTGAACAGTTACCCTTCCTCCTATAGAAAGTTCATTTCTAAATACTAGCCCTGTAAATTCCAAATTATTTTGAGTACTATAATATCTTTTACTATAATCTTCTCATGCCCAGAACTATTATAACATTTTGGGATGCCACAGAGGTAGAGAAATTAATCTTAAAATCATCTATGTCTTTAAGCTTTAAATAAATAGAAAATTGATGATAGACTGATCAATTAATCACAAAAGGGAAGTAGTATTCCAAGGTCAATTTCTGTCCCCTAAAAGATAACTTAAATAGTTTCATAAGCCATTTTAAATGAAGGAATGTGTGCTTTAACTGCCATCACATATTGCTTATCCAGTAAGTAGCCAACTGCACTGACACTTCTTAGGTAATAAAAAATGGGTGGAAACCTGTCTAGAGCATTCAACTTGACACCTTTTAAAAAGTTCACCTATACTTCTAGTCAGATGAAAAGGTATTGAGAGGGGGGAATCTCCAGACTTCTGCCAAAGTAGCTGCATTATTAAGATAAAGTAAAAGTAGATTTCTTACCTAAAAGTATGATCCCTTTGATCTGCCTCTCATACAAGTATCTTGGAAATTAGGATACAGTCATTCCTACAGGAGATTCAAATTTGAAACTGAACCTATCGATTGAAAAGAGGGAAATAATTAATTTGAAACACAAGACAATGAAGAATAAAAACATCAGTTTGTTCAAAGATGAAATTTCCGTACACTTGTTAAAGCCAAATGGTTTCTGCAGGAAACTTGTTTTCTGTGACTCAAATCCAAAAAGGAAAACGTGGGTGGTTCTCCCTATCTCACCATTAAAAGTCAGCCAATTGGCTGGTGAAGTTTTCACCCAACTTAATCTCAAGCTCTAGCCTTCCATCTGCTCTAATACTGTGTTACCTTGTGAAATGAAAGAGGAATAAAGGCTTTCTTCAGTCTCGAAGTGAGTCTTTCATGGAGACCTTTGGCTTTTTTTATCTAGCCGCTATTTGAACAAACTGCAAACTTCTTCAAAACTGCAAATCCACAAGCTGTGAAAAATGAGAGCTAAATCACAAAATAATCCAGAGACTTTAAAGCTTTCTCTGATTTTGAAGCTGTGATTTCTAAAATATGACAAACTAATCTCTCTTGGGCACTAAACTACAATAGCTGCATATCTGTGGAATGAGGGCTTCCAGCCCAGTGATCTTAACCACGGCCACATTTTCCCACCCACAGGTAACTCTTACCATTTGCCAAGACATGCCTGCCAACAGAAACCATACTTGAACTTCAAAACACATGATTCTGCCAGATTGGGACATGAATCCAGTAATTCTGTAGGGTATTTCACACATCCACCTATAGCCAGTAAACCAGCCAGGATGGTACAAGGTTAACTCAAAGCACATATAACAATACACCTTCAAGGAGAGAAAGACCATGGGTACATGACACTGGCATGGTAAAACAATTGTGTGCACACTTCTGCTAAAGGTCACCTTACATTTACACCTACAGTCACTGGAAAAATCTGCAAATACAAGCCAATAAAAATTCAGATGAAAATTTTCAACACTAATAAAAGGATTCCAAGTGGCACAATGCTCAGCGGTAGCAACTGTCCAATTACTAACGATTCTGGGCCCAATCTGAAAATTCCTCATGTCTTAGGATGTTGTCTCAAAAATGCTGAGATTCATAGCTCACCTGTTAGGTAAGAAGGACCTTTCATGAGCCACCAATGACTGCTCAGCAAGTAAGTTCTTGCATAATGTCTCCTCTGATAGTCACACCGCAGAACTCACTGGCCAGGAAGACTGGTTTCCAAAATACTCATCTCAAGGGAAATGTTTTGTGTGGAGACAATGAAACTTGAATACGGACCCTGTTTGTACATTTCAATTTTAGTAAATATGTGTACAGAGGCACTAAGATAATAAGCAATCAATAGCTCTTAAAGCTGGAAGACACTCCAATACCTCATTACCACTGTAAACCCTTTGTTTTATAGGTAAGATTAAATCAATCTCCTGACTGCCAGCTCAGTGTTCTTCCTATCACACTGTTGCTCTCTAATCAATTGTGGAAATGATATTTTAGATCATATTAAAATCAAACTACAACTCACTTACATCATAAATCTCATTTAACTATGTGTTTCAAAAAAAATAACACAGAATGCTAAGAAGTAAAGGCCTTTAGAGCATTCCCTGACCAGGGTGGGCAGAGCACCAGGGTTGGCTGTCTTTCTTCCAACAAGTACAGTCTAATTTTATGGTCAGCAAAATAGTATGTACAAATTATATATACAAATCATCCCTTTCTCCTTTTTTTAACACTGATTGCTTCCAAACCAGTACCTCTAGCATTAAGATACAAAATATGACATCTGACTTCACTTAAAATGAATGTTGAATGACAAAAATAGTGATCTGTGGGTAAAATTGTAATATTTCCAGAATATCTCGCCTGGCTTTGGTACATCTGCATATCAACAGGCGTTCAGAGGTGTAAAGAAGTATGGCTTTAGTGCATTTGCACCTTTCCTCAGGAGTGGAGAAGTTCATCTCCTTATCAATGGGTGATTACCTGGGCAACAGAGGGCTTATCTGTACCTCAGAGGTGAGGGGGAGGGCCGGTGGTTGCTGCTGGAGAAGAGAAGAAAGACGGACTGGGACTGAAGTTTGTGAGAAATAAATGGGTTTTAAATTTTATTTCTCCCTTTGGCTGATTTTGGTTTTTAGAGGTATTTTGCCCCGGGATTTCCTTTCCCCGGACTGACACGATCCTTTTTCAAGTTGAGGTTGAAAATACTTTCTAAATAAGGTATTATCACTATAAGATTTATTTCCCCATTGCAGTTTTCTTTAAAACTCTGATTTTTTAACACTTCTAAGACAATAACCTAAAGTGATCTTTCATTCTGTTCATTTCCTCTAATTCTAAATTACAATTCCCCAAATAAGCACATTTTTGCAAACTAAAAAAAAAAACACACAAATTTCTTGCATAGGATGGAATATCTGCATGTATTTTTAAAAACTTTTTAGATAAAACATCAGTCTCTAAAAAAATTCCTAACTGCCCTCTGGGTTACCTCCAAAGAGAGGCTTGTACCCTCCTCTCTTATTAAGGATGAAATTTTGTGACAAAAATTAGTACCAATTCTTACATGTATTAGTTATGTGGCGCTGGGCAAGTCATTTAAGTTCTGAGCTTAAGCTTATATAAAAAGTCAGAATGTTTGCCTTCTAAGGTATTTTCTAGGTTTCTTAGAATCTTCCTACAACTTTAAGTATCATCTTTATTCCCCTTGAATTCTAAAAGTCAAATATCTCTTTGCCTAGACATATTTGTAATGCCCTAGAACTTACTAGGAGAATGAACCACCAGCTTAGCTAAATGAAATTTTAGAACACTGTGGACTTTATCTGCTTTAAATGTATCTCCTTGTCTCATGTTTCAGCATTTTGAAAAAAAGGTTTAGAAATACATTTTCACATCTGGGTGACTGCTGAAGCATTTTCCCAAAACTCTATGGAGACCTTGATTACTTCCTCCTTCCTCCCCCAATATCTCATTAGGGATTCTCTGAAACCTGGCTTAATTTGCCACAATGTTGAAAATTAAAATCTTTATCAATTATCTTTAAAATTAGCTATGGTCCAAGTCTGCATTTGAGAATCTGCGCATTTTCACGATTTAGTACTCTTCATTTTAAATCTAAAGAATTGGTTCCACTGTATCTGAAAATTCAGTTATTTTTTTTAAATCTGAATTCAAGCTCCTTGCTTATTGCCAAATAAGGAGGTTCTAGAATACTGTAATCATGTAACTCACACCCTGATAATAATTTTTCTTTACATGCCAACTGATGATTTTTGCCATCCACAATGAGTTCGTGAACAAAATAATCACTAGGATTGAGGATCTGTCATTTTACTACTAGCAATCTGAAAGAGTAGTTGCTTTTGCCAAATTCATTCATTCAACATATATTTATTGAGTATCTACTGCCGGGTAGGCACCTCTGCCTTCATGCTGGGAATATACAAACTGACAAGTCTGCCTCCGTGGAGCCTGTAATCTAATGAAGGAGACACACAATAAACATACTATATAGAAATAATGTATAAGTATAAGCAGTAAACATACAGAAAAATCGTAAGGGACACATATACGTAATGTTAGAGGGGATATGTGCTACTGAAAAGAAAAAGGCCAGTGCAGCAGAACAAGGGGATTCGGGAATGCATGGACAGACAGTGAATTGTAATCTTACTAAAGTGGATCAGGGTTAAGACTCAGTGCAAAGGCCGCATTTGAGCACAGACTCCAGGGAAGTGAGAATGAGCCAGGCTGAAGTTTCCTAGTAATTTTTACCTTGTGCTGACTAGGCATGTTAATAGCTGATGCCTCATCAAAAGCATTGTGTATGAGCAAATAACTGAACAGCCCAGAGAAAACAGAAGAGAGCTGTGCGTAAACCCCCTTCGTTTTTGCAGCTTAGTTTACTTACATCCTCAGCTGGCCATGCTCCTTGTGCACTTTTCCCCCAGATGTTCTTTTGAACAAAACTCTTACTTCTGTGATTCATTTTCCTTAAAACCCAAGAACAAATGTCCAAGTATTTACTTGACACATATAAGAGCATCAGTCTTATCCAACCAGCTACCCCACTGAGACACCCCCCACTACATCAGAACTGAAATATCGGTATGGAACCCAGGAGGCACTGAAATTTTTTCTCAATGTGGAGAAACTGTTACTTTCCTAGGGAGTGTGGTAGGGAAGGATGGGGCTCTGAGATCAGGAGGCCTCACCACCAACCAGCCATATAATCTTGGGCAAGTCCTGGGTTTCAGTCTCCAAAACTATAAAATTAGAATATGGGAGCACATGATTTCTAAGTCCTTCCAGGGCTAAGTCCATTTAAGAACACAAGTTCGGTAAATAACCATATATGAAAAATCATACAGATGTGCGCTCTGCTAATCATCACAGATTCGTACACTTCAATTTGTTGTTCAAGTAAAAGTAAAAGATTTATACTGACCCGTGCATAAAGTCTCAACTCTCCCTCTCGAATTGAGATTCACAAGAATGGGTCTTGACTAGCTCACCAAGGACAAAAGAACCTGATACATAGGGGGGGTGTTCTTGTCTTGGCTTTATTATCATCGCACTCTTATTAGACTAAAATGGAAATTCCCAAGGAACATAAGCACGAAACTGCTGAGGTTTTAAATATTTTTGATGTACCACCACCACCCACAATTTTAAAAAATGTTTTTTAAATTGTAGAATTCCTTAGAAGTTGCTTATAACCCATTAGTATTCTATTTTATTCTCTCAAATAGGTACTGTAATGAGCATCTTTTATTCAGGGGGCCCAAAATCTTTGGTCCTTTCTCATCACAGTGTAATAGTTCCCTACTATGTAGTGCCCACCTTCCCAATGGAGAATTTAAGAAGAAAGCAAATAACCCAGTTGGTTGGGGGAGGACTACATCTCCTGCCTTCCTTGACCTACAGCACAGGCAGACTTAGGATACAGGTTCTGCCAAGCAGGTACCAACACCTGGGACTCCTTCAGAGCCGAGTTATGTGGGGGAAGAGGCAAGGTGGCACGGTGCATGGCATCCAC